TTGTGATGCCTCCAGCTTTGTTTTTGTTAGGATTACTTTAGATATTCGGGGTCTCCTGCATTTTCATATGAATTTTAGCATCGTTTTTTCTGCATCTGAGAAGAATGACTTGGTATTTTGATTAGGATCGCATTGACTCTAAATTGCTTTCAGCAGTATGGAGAGTTTGATAGGATTAATTCTTCCAGTCCACAAACATGGAAGATCCTTCTTTTTTTATGTCTTCTTCTCTTTCTTTCTTAAATGTTTCCTAATTCTCATTGTAGAGATCTTTCACATCCTTGCTTAAATTAATCCAGGGCATATAAATTTTTGCAGCTATTGGGAATGGTACTAATCTAAAGTTCTTTCTCAGCCACGGCATTGCTTGTGTATATGAAGGCTATAGATTATTGTATATTGATTTTATATCCTGCAACTTTACCAAACTCTTTTATGAGCTCCAGTAGTCTCTTGGTAGACTATATACCCTATGTATACATCATGATCCTGTCTCAGCAAACAGGGATAACAACTTCCACTTTGTATCTCTGTTTTCTTTCTAATGACTTCCAGAACTACATAGAACAGCAGTGGTGAAATAGGGCATCTTGTCTGGTTCTGGACCTTACTGGAAATGCTTCCAGCTTTTACCCATTCAAGATGATGCTGGCTGGTGCTGTGCCATATAGTGCCTTGATTGTATTGAGGTACATTCCTTCTATACTCCATTTCCTAAAGTTTTTTTTTTATCATTAGAGGATACTTTTTAAAAGATCTATTTATTTGAAAGGCAGGGTTACAGACAGAGAGGGAGAGGTAGAGAGAGAGAGGTCCTCCATCCACGGGCTCACTCCCCAGGTGGCCGCAACAGCCAGAGCTGCACCGATCCGAAGCCAGGAGCTTCCTCCGGGTCTCCCACGTGGGTGCAGGGGCCCAAGGACTTGGGTCATCTTCCACTGCTTTCCCAGGCCACAGCAGAGAGCTGGATTGGAGGTGGAGCAGCCGGGACTGGAACCGGCGCCCATAGGGGATGCCAGTGCCACAGGCAGCAGCCTTACCCGCTGTGCCACAGCGCCGGCCCCGACTCACTTTCTAACCTCACTCAACTCCTTTTTTGGCCAGGCCTGACATGGAGTGTTGAGAATGAATGAACTGGCTTTAAAATCATTTCTTAAAAATAGGACTTGGGAAGTCTTAACTTCTCACTTTTAGAAGACCCAAAAATCCTTGTATTATTCAGGTGAGCTGAACGCGTGCACGCTGTGTTTGCCAGAGACGGGGTCTGAGCCCCAGTCCTCAGCGCTCGCTCGGCTCTGGGGCCGCCGGCCGTGACAGCCCTGGTTTCACGGAGCACCTGTTCATCCCTGGGGAGCACGGTTCCACTCTGAACATTCCCACGGATTCATCCCTGGCAAGAGGTGGCTGCAGACGCTGTGGAGCCGACAGACATCCTGACAGAGGACTGACTTGCTGAACACCACGCGCCCACCCCACAGGGCGCCATCACGGAATCCCAGACACACGCTCTCGGTGTTGAGCCAACAGAAGAGGCCCCTCCCAGGGGTGCAAGGTGACGGGGCTATGCCTCAGCTGTGAGCTCCTCAGAACCCGGCAAGGGGTGCAAACGGGACCAGGCCCTCAGTGTTACTAGGGGACGGAGACAGCCATAAACCTCAAACCACCAAGAGAAAAGAAAACGCCAAATTCCAACAAAGCCTCCCTCACAGGGCCGGCGCTGGGCACAGCCTGCAACACCTGCATCCCACATGGGCACCGGTTCGAGTCCCAGCTTCTCCACTTCCGATCCGGCTCCCTGCTAGTGCACCTGGGAAGGCAGTGGAAGATGGTCCACGTGTCTGGGCCCCTGCACCCATGCGGGAGACCCGGATGGAGCTCCTGGCTCCTGGCTTTGGCCTGGCCCAGCCCTGGTCATTGCAGCTATTTGGGGAGTGAACCAGTGAGTGGAAGATTCTCTCTCTCTCCCTCCCTCCCTCTCTCTTTCCCCTCCCTCTCTTTGACGCTTTAAAATAAACAAACAGGTCTTTAACAAGCATAGCGAGGCTCCCTTTGCCCCTGCACACCTGCAGCTGCTGAGAGTGGGGCAGGAGGCGGGAGAGACGGGAGATAGAGAGAAAGCAGAGGAGACCCAGGCATGGAAATCCCGGCAGAGCCGGACACCGAGCGAGTGCTGGGCTGAGCACCGCCGACCTCACCGCACAGCCACTGGGCCAGGGCCAGGGACACGGGCGAACACACGTGAAGACGGAGCAGGGCCTGATGGGAAGGAGGAGGCGTGCCAGGACGGGCCACCGTGTCAGGGCCAGGTCACGTGCCGGGGGCAGGCCATCATGCCAGGGGCGGTCATTGTGCCGGGGGCGGGCTATCATGCCAGAGGCCATCATGGGAGGCACCGCACACACGGCCATGGCGTTGAGTGTTAGCCTCCGCATGAAAGTGGTGAGAATGCGGGCATGACGAGGCCGAAACACACGTCCTCCTGACTGCCCCTGAGCTGCAAGGGGCACGCTGACCATCCCTGGCTGTGGCCTCAGTCCTGTGGGACTGTGGGCAGGGAGGCCCCCACCGGGATGCGAGGAGCACACTCAGCCGTCCTGAGTTCCCCACACAGGCCCTTCGGGACAGTGCCTGGGTCACACCTGACCCCGACTGCTACGGCCGCAGTCACCGGCAGCATCTGGATGTGGGCCTTTGTTCCGTGTGCCCACGGCACGGTTCTGAAGAAGCTCAGGCCGTAGCAGGAAGGGCTGGAAAGCTGGGTCGGCCCGCGGGATGTGAACGGCCCGATGGTTTGGGGGAAGCAACACCGTGTCTTATAAAACCCGAGTCTGAGTTCTCCGCAGTCCTCATGGCTTTTAACCGGACACGGCAGGTGGGGAGCTGAAGCTGGGGTGGGCAGGGCCCCCAGGAGAGCAGAGGGTGATGACCACCTGCCCCTCCCGGCCCTGAGGTGCCCCTGTGGGACTCCAGGGAGTCAGCACTTGCCTGAGGCCAGGGAGGGCAGTGTCCCCAGGGAGAGTAGGTGACGGGGCCCTCTGCCCCAGTCTGAACCCACACTGGCCCTGTGCTGACAAAGCTGGCCCGGGAAACCCACCCTGGCCCTGTGCTGACAAAGGTGCCCCGGGAAACCCACCCTGGCCCAGTGCTGACAAAGGTGCCCCGGGAAACCCACGCTGGCCCTGTGCTGACAAAGGTGCCCCGGGAAACCCATCCTGGCCCTGTGCTCTGACAAAGGTGCCCCGGGAAACCCACCCTGGCCCTGTGCTGACAAAGGTGCCCCAGGAACGTTAGGTGTGGCCCACCCAGGCGATGGCACGAGGAGCACGTGGCCACTCTGGTCATTGACCCCAGTGACTCCATGTGTCTGATACTATTCACAGAAAAGAGATGTTGTAATGCCCAGCCAAAGAGAACAGGGAAGAGCACGCTTGCCAGGGCCACAGGGGAGGCCCATGTGGGTGACAGGACTGCTGCACACGGGGACGATGCTGTACACGGGACGATGCTGTACACGGGGACAATGCTGTACACGGGACAATGCTGTACACGGGGACGATGCTGTACACGGGGACGATGCTGTACACGGGGACGATGCTGTACACGGGGGCGATGCTGTACACGGGACAATGCTGTACACGGGGACGATGCTGTACACGGGGATGATGCTGCACACGGGACAATGCTGTACACGGGGACGATGCTGTACACGGGGACGATGCTGTACACGGGACGATGCTGTACACGGGGACAATGCTGTACACGGGACGATGCTGTACACGGGACGATGCTGTACACGGGGACGATGCTGCACACGGGACGATGCTGTACACGGGGACGATGCTGTACACGGGACAATGCTGTACACGGGGACGATGCTGTACACGGGACAATGCTGTACACGGGGACAATGCTGCACACGGGGACAATGCTGTACACGGAGATGATGCTGTACACGGGGACGATGCTGTACACGGAGATGATGCTGTACACGGGACGATGCTGTACACGGAGATGATGCTGTACACGGAGATGATGCTGCACACGGGGACGATGCTGTATGCAGGGGAGGATGGGTCCGCTCTACAGGGCTGTGCACGGGGGATGCAGGCCACTCTGTGTCGTCCAGGCCCGATGCCAGGAGTGAGCCCCTCGTAACCTTGGACACGGTGTGCCAGGTAGGTTCCCATGGTAGCAGCGCCCCCTTGGGGGGGAGGGCTGTGCATGTGTAGGGGAGGGTCCTGCTGGCAGTACTTGTGACTTAGTTTCACTCTGGAACTAAAAGTGCCCTAAAAAGAACGAACATCCTGGATGGCTCTAAGATTCTCAGCCACGTAAATCCTTCCCACTGGGCACAGCTGTGTGCCCTGGAAACTGAGTGAATTCTGCTTCGCCACGCACGGCGCCTTCCCTGGGGACTCCTGCTGACCCAGCTGAGGTCCCCGTGCAACACAGGAGGGGGAGCCGGAACAATGCCCATGAGACTCACACCACGGCTCTGCGAGCCCGCCCTCCCGGCGTCCCGGCCCTCGGGGACGTAGCTAAACCTCAGCATCTGAATCAGCACCTTAGAGAAATGGAAAACAGCACACGCTTGGGCTCAGGCTGACTGCAGACACGGAACGTTCTCCACTGGGCCACAACGCACCTGTGAGACGTAAGAGCCAAACGCATGTCAATGCCGGAGCCACATCAGCCTCTTTGTGACGAGGGGGTGGGGTGGCACACGTCCTACCCTCCCAGGAGACCCCCTCCTAGGCAAGGCATCACTTTTCCCCCACAGCTACGGCTGCGATGGCTTCGAGTGAGCCGCGCCCACGCCCTTCCCATACAAGGCTGCCACGTGCGCCACGTGACCCCCGGTGACCTTCCCCGGCCTCACCCAAATGCACTGTGGCAGGGCCGTGAGGCTGCGGGTCCCTGGGGCAGGTGCGGAGAGCCCGCCCAGCTCAGGCACAGGAGGCGCTGTCCCCGCGCAGAGCGACGCACACAGGAGGCAGACGTAGTGAGGGCTGGGGACACCACAGCCCGGCGCCTTGTGATGCTTTATTAGCCTACAGCAGGAGACACACGTGTGACCGGCTAGTGCCTGCTCCGAGGGCCACTGTGGGCCTTCGCAGCTGCCCGGGGTGGACGGCGGCTTGGCACACTCAGCCACGCACTGCACAGCCCAGAGTCGCCCCCACGCGGCCATGAGCCGGGCGCTGAGCTCAGGCCCCGCGTTCCGCCAGGAACCATGGGTACAGAGCCTGGGGCAAACAGACGGGCGTAAAACGAAAATCAAACGCAAAACCTAGAAGCATGGCGGTGGCCCGTGGCCTGCTGTCACGCGGCACCGGGACCAGGGCCTCTCCACGCCCTACGGGGCCGTGGCGGAGGCGGACGCGGGGATGAGCTTGGGCTTGGCCTGCTGGGGCGGCGCCACCTCGGGGATGGCCTCGCCGTGCTTGTACACGCTGACGGTGACGTCGATCTTCTCCCCGCCGTACTTGTTCTTGACATTGATGCTGTACTTGCCCGAGTCCTCGGAGGTCACGCCCTTGATGGTCAGGCTCACGTACTTGGCCTGCTCCACCTTCACGGAGAAGTGCTCGCTGAGCTCGATGTCCTGGTCGTTCTTGAACCACACCACCTCGGGGTCGGGGTTCCCAAACACCGTGCAGGTCAGGTTCAGGGTCTGGAGGAGGAACAGCGTGTGAGCTCTGCCGTGGCCCGCGGCGCCCTCGTGAAGGCGGCCAGGGGCATGGGGCCGGGCACACCCGAGCCACGGGCGCCCACGGGAGAGCTCAGAAGGAAACCCAGCGCCGAGCTGTCTGTCTTACTCCGGTTTCAAAGGCATCGGAAGCCGGTTAAGCTCTACAAGTCGCAATACACACACTCAGCCTCTCCCTAAAATTCCTTTACATTCAGATTTAGGGGGTCACCCGGCCAGTTCCTCGGGCGACACGGTGTCACAGCTAGCAGGACGCAGTCAGCACACTCTGGACGTCTGGCTGAAACCAGCTTTCGGCCGTGACAAAGCAGAACCAGTGCGGGCTTCTGGGTGGCGGTTCGCTGTGACACTGGCCCTCCGCGGGGGCTCACTGGGCCCTCCGCAGCCGCCGAGGGAAAGCTCCATACATTTCCGTGTCTCGGCCTCGCAACATTCGCCCAAGCATCTATGTCCCCGTGAGGCTGAGCTACCGTCCCGGGTGCGGCGAAGGAACCAGAACCGGCACCTCCACGACAGGCGCAAACCCAAGCTGCACACGGAGGCTCCCGCTGGCCTGAACCCGTCTTACACTTTACAAACGTGACAGATGACACTGCCAGCAGGCGGCCACAGCGTCACGCAGGGCGGGCGGCCTCCTTCTCCCTGGTCCTTCCTCCCTTTGGCCCCAGAGCCAGGCGGGAGCCTGGGCCCAGCAGAATCCCTTGCCACAGGCCCTGTGGAGGCGCCCGAGTCGACGTGTGGCCCGGGGTGCAGAGGCGCAGTGTGTTGATGCCAGTGAGCGAGCGGGCGGGGAGCTGGGCCATGCCCCGTGCCACAGGGAGTGCACAGCAGGAGGTGAGCTCAGCTGTTCTGCAGAGGGGCAGCGGACGTGGGACGGGCCCCCCTCCCGCAGGCCCTCTGCTCGGCCCTAGGACAAGCGAGTGTGCCGTGTCCAGCCCCACCCCGGTGCTGCCCCACTGCCAGCTCTCACCTTGCCTTCCATGATGGTCACCACGTCGGGCAAACCGCCAATCACCTTGCCGCGATCTGCAACAGAGCAAAGCCACTGAGCCGAGGAAGCAGTGACAGGGACGTCCCCGCGGGGCACCCAGGAGAGGGCCCAAGGGAAGGGGGCCCCTGCGGTGGTGGGAGAGGCCAGGGGCCCAGGGCGTTAAGCAGCCTGGAGCGAGTGGGGGATGCGAGCTGGGCTCTCGGGGTCAGGGTCTGCCAGGGACAGAGGCGGGGCGCGGCGTGCTCCCTGGCTTGGGGAAAGCAGAGGCCCCGGGTGGCACAGGCGGAAGCTCAAGGGCCGGTGCAGGGCAGGAGGGGGCGGGGCCGGGTGAGAGGGGCCAGAGCTGGGGAGCAGCAAGGCGTGGAGGGCCGGTGAGCTCAGATGCTTCCGCTTCCACAGCAAGGCTGGTGGGCCTTGCTCCACCGACGGAAAGCAGCCAGCGTGATAGTGGGTGCTGTAGCAGGCTGTGGGCCCTGCCACCCCCACCCCCACCCCCACCCCCACCCCGTGGAACGCGGCCAGCGAGACGGTGGGCACTGTACTCACTCTTCTCTGCGAACGCCGCAGCCCTGAGGGAGAAGGGGCAGAGAGCAGAGGTGAGAAGAGTGTGAGGCCAACGCCACTGACACAGGCCCCGCAGCCAGGGACGCTGGCCGGGCAGGGCGCAGTTCCCGCCACGGGAGAGGCGCTGCCCCTGCCTCCCCCGGGCCCCGCCCCGGCACCCACAGGCCACACCCACACCAGGGCACACGGACTTTCCCATCCACCTGTCAGTCTCGGCTTCGTCTTCCTTCTCTGCACCCTCCCCACAGCCACGGCCAGGAGACCCGGCAAGGCCCCTCCCTGCTCCCGGGGCAGGCACGCGAACGCGGGCACATGCTGCAGAATTCTAGGTCATTCTTGCAAACAGCCCCTGAGTGGAGTGCTACTGTGACACTGTACTTAGTCGCTCCTAATTTGCCGCGACGACGCATTAGTCATCTAACCCTCTAAAGCGATGCAAGGCTATTACAACTCAGGAAGTTAACCCTTAAACACACTTCCGGTCTGGACCTGCCCTGCGACCAACTGAGGTACTTAAGTGGCTCTTTGTATCCCAGGACCAACTCCAGCACTCAGTTCACCCGGGGATCCACAGGCCTTCCTACACCTGAACAAACAAGCCCCACGGCCCCTGGGCCCCTAGTGACTCAGTAACAGTGGGCAGAGCCACAGCGCAGCAACTGAAAGTAAAAATCTACAGAAGAACCCAAAGTGCAGGTCTACACGGTGGCAACCTGGGTATACGTCTACACAGTCACACCCAATGTGCAGGTCCACACGGTGACAGCCTGGGGTACATGTCTACACAGTCACACCTCATGTGTAGGTCTACACGGTGACAACCTGGGGTACATGTCTACACAGTCACATCTCATGTGCAGGTCTACACGGTGACAACCTGGGGTACACGTCTACACAGTCACACCCCATGTGCAGGTATACACGGTGACAACCTAGGGTGCACGTCTACACAGCCACACCTCATGTACAGGTCTACACAGTGACATCCTGGGTACATGTCTACACAGCCACACCTCATGTGCAGGTCTACACAGTGACATCCTGGGGTGCACGTCTACACAGCCACACCTCATGTGCAGGTCTACACGGTGACAACCTGGGGTACATGTCTGCACAGCCACACCTCATGTGCAGGTCTACACGGTGACAAACTGGGGTACATGTCTACACAGTCACACCTCATGTGTAGGTCTACACGGTGACATCCTGGGGTACATGTCTACACAGTCACACCTCATGTGCAGGTCCACACGGTGACAACCTGGGGTACATGTCTACACAGTCACAGCTCATGTGCAGGTCTACATGGTGACATCCTGGGGTACATGTCTACACAGTCACACCTCATGGGCAGGTCTACACAGTGACAACCTAGGGTGCACGTCTACACAGCCACACCTCATGTGCAGGTCTACACGGTGACATCCTGGGTACACGTCTACACAGTCACACCTCATGTGCAGGTCCACACGGTGACAACCTGGGGTACATGTCTATGCAGTCACACCCCATGTGCAGGTCTACATTGTGACATCTCATGTACGGTCTACACAGTAACACCCCATGTGCAGTCTACATGGTAACAGATGAGCGTGCAGGTCTACACTGCAACACCCCACGTGCAGTGTACACAGTAACAGATGAGCGTGCAGGTCTACATGGTAACACCTCATGTACAGGTCTACACCGCAACACCCCGCGTGCAGTCTACACGGTAACAGATGAGCGTGCAGGTCTACACCGTGACACCCCACGTGCAGTCTACATGGTAACAGATGGGCGTGCAGGTCTACACAGTAACACCTCATGTACAGGTCTACACCATGACACCCCACGTGCAGTCTACACAGTAACAGATGAGCGTGCAGGTCTACACCGCGACACCCCACATGCAGTCTACACGGTAACAGATGAGCGTGCAGGTCTACACCGTGACAGCCGAGCGTGCGGCCCTTACTTGAGCCGCTGGAACTCTGCGAAGGCTTCGTCGAACGCTGCAGGGAAAGGTTCACCCGTGGTCAGCAGGTTCCTCCTAGCCAGCTTTCTGTGCCCACTCAGACATCCCCCCGTGCGTCTGCTCGTGACCATGGCGGCCGCCCGCTGGACGAGTCTTCACTCGTGGTCAGCAGGTTCCTCCTAGCCAGCTTTCTGTGCCCACTCAGACGTCCCCCCGTGCATCTGCTCGTGACCATGGCGGCCGCCCGCTGGAGGGGTCTTCACAAACCCCTTTCTCCGCAGGAGTATCGGAAGATCCGCCTGCCTTGGGTCTCCTCCCGCAGCACCGAGCGGATCAGCGCGGCGGAAGCCCCGGATGCCGAGCGGCCGCTCTTACCTTGTCCCGACAAGTCGAGCGAGCGCTGGTGGTTGTCTTTGCCGTCGAAAATCTCAAAAGTGTACTTCCCTTTGTCCTTCTCCGTGGGCTCGCAGATCTGCAGCCAGGCCATGTCCTCACTGCCCCCAATGCGCATGTGCTCACTGGACGAGATCTTGGCGTCTCTAGAAAAGGAGAGGGACACAGTGAACGTGGGGTCTCTGCGTCACATGCACGGCACCTGCAGGGCTGACTCGCCGATGCCAGAGTCCCTAAGTGACACCCTTCTTGTTGAATATAGACTCGACACAACGTGACCTCGACACTCGCAGAGAACCGAGAGCAAACACTGGGACACATTCAGTACACCACGCTCACAGCAGCACGGGTCCCGATGGCCAGGAGGGGACAGCAGCCAGGGGTCAGGGGCAGGTAATAAACGAGGCATGGCACAGCCTGTCCATTCCATGGCACAGCCTTCAGCCTCAAGGACAGAAGTTCTGACACGGCAACAGGATGAACCCCGAAGATGGTACACAAAGCGAAACAGGCCGGCCACAGAGGACCCAGACTGGGTGATGCTGTTTCACAGTCATCAGGCCGAGGTCACTGGGGGAGGGGTGGGGGTGGGGGAGTGGAGAGGGAGGTGCCGAGGGTTGTACAACAGCATGGCTGTATGATCCCACGGAAACCTGACACCCAAATGGCTAAAATCCCAAATTTTGCATTCTGAGCTATCTTGCTATATAACGTCTATTTTGCAAAAGCATAAATGATGCCACGTTCATCAGTCAGGAATTTGCAGTAACACATCGCTCCGTCTCCAGCTATCTCGGAGCCCAGTCCATGGTCTGGGACGCGTCTCTCTGTCTGTGGTCAGTCCCCTCCCTGCATGTTGGGAAGAGCAGTGGTTAGGACTGGACCTCCCAGAGTCCAAAGCCCTGTTCCCTCGCCCACTGGCCATAGGGTTTGGGACACAATGCTTGCGTCCCCCTCACATCTACAAGACATGACGACTACCTACCCCGAGGGCATCTGTGAGATTAGATGTTCCTCACGGAGCATCAGCTCGCCGGCCCTAACACAACACAAACTGACACGCACGTGTGCCTGTGCAGGTGCAGGTGTGTGTGTGTGTGTGTGTGTGTGTGTGATCTCTGTGCCCCAGTCCCAGCACAGAGCAGGCCTGTGACAAGCCAGGCAAAGCTAAAGAAGGGTGGCCGCCACTTCCCGGGGCTGGCCATGTCCATGACAACGTGGCACATGCACACAGCCACACAGCCTGAGTGGGACCAGGGGCTGCACAGAGATGTTGCAATCCATTCTGCTTCCCACTGATCCCACGAGAAAATACATCTACTCGCCGTCTTAAGAAAGCATCCTCATAAGCAGTTATTTCACAAGACTCACCAGCATCAGACTTCGAAGCTCTTATTTCCGGAATTCTCTCTACACAGAAATACGCTTCCTTCCGCACACTTGCCTAACAAACCGGACCTGCAGCAACTCTGTCTGATGTAGGACACAGGCTACTGAAGACACAGCCGTGGAAGGCTCCAGTCTGTCTTATTACCTTACGTGTCATAACACGTAACACAAAAACAATCGGTGCGTTGAAATTTAAATGGGGAAAAAGCCCCAAAAAGATAAGCAGCTCAACTCACTCACTAACAGACTCACTTCAACAAAACAGTGCTTTTTAAAGCAAATGTCACAACCACCAGGATTGTCTTTGGAAATACTGACTAGATAAATCTACCCACGGTGTGGCAGAGGGGGCCTGGGCTGTAGCTCATGGGGGAGCAGGGGTTGGGGAGTTGTCGACACCGTTGGAACTTGGGGAACAGGTTGGGACAGGCCTGAGGTGCTGCCCTCCTGGGGCTGGAGCTGTGGACAGCGGGTTAAGCCACCACCTGCAATGCCAGCACCCCACAGATTTGAGCGCTGGTTTGAGTCCCAGCCGCTCCACTTCCCATGCAGCTTCTTACTAACGTGGCTGAGAGGCGGCAGCTGATGGCTCAAGTCCGAGGGTGTCTGTCAGCCTGTGGGAGACCCGGATGGAGCCCAGCTCTGGCTGTTGCACCATCTGGAGAGTGAACCAGCAGGTGGGAGACATCTCTGTCTCTCCCTCCTCCTCTCTGCCACTCTAGCTTTCAAATAAATAAATAAATCTCTTTAAACCAAAACGGTGTCCTCCCGATGTGGGTGCGAGCGGAGATGAACTGAAAGCCACTGTCCCCGCCCCATCGGAGGCCCGTCCCCTACGATCCCGTCCTGGGAGCGACGGGACCCGGCTTTCAGCTGTCAGGTACACGTCTGTGGCAGGGACGTGAAACACTGGCCCTCCACGGGTCGTGACTCCCACCTGGGAACGCACGAGACACGACAAACTCGCCATACAGACCTGACGTTGCCTGCCTTACATCGGGCTTGTCTCGGCTCCTTTCCCCTATAATCCGGCGTGGTGGAAGCTGCCTGATGGGAACTAGGAGCGGGATTCTGACGAGTGGTCCCCCTGCTCCCTGCTCCCCTCTAGGGAGGCTGCGGGCCACCCCTGGTGCACGCGAGCCCCACAGCCATCTCCAAGGCCTCCGGCCACTCCCTTCTCCTGGTCCTGTCTCCTGGGGGTCCTCCCACTGCCGCGCTGCCCGGCCCCGAGCCCACGGTGCACACAGCTGCTCAAGCTTACAGACCTGGGCCCTGCCACGGCTCCCGGCCACGGCCCCACACTTACTTGTGGTACCAGTTCACTCTCATCTCCTCGGTGAAGTACTTCATGAAACACTGCAGCCTGATCCCTTCCGGGGTGCAGAGGATCTTCAGGGGAGAAGCCGACATCCCTGCAGGACACAGAGAGGCCTCAGGCACGGGGGGACAGCCGGGGCCGCACTCATCAACCACACGTCCACACCACGGACAGCCCAGACAGCCCTACATGCTCAGCTCCTGGGCCCACAGTGGTCAGTCACGGTGCTGGGGGGCCCTCAGTGAGCCCGGGAGAGGAGGCTGTGGGTGGGTGATCTGCAGCCAACACCTGTGGCCTCTGCTTCCTCCTCCACAAAGCCTCCTCCCGTGGGCAGGCCCTGAGCTGCTGTTCACGGCATTGGAGGCCTCTCAGACGCAGCCACCCATGCCATGCGGCTCGGGCCGCTGCACAGGAAGTGCAGGGATCCTGGAGAACACGGCCAAGACCCACCCCCACGCCCTGGTGTCTAGGATCCCACCTCCCACCCAACAAGCTCCACATACCCATGAGTAATTCCCACTTCTCCTCCACAGCGTCTGCCACCTGCCTACCCTGCATGTGCCATGCGACCCTGCCAGGCCCTTCCTGAAGGGGCAGCCACGCCTCGGCCCTTCCGTGCCTGGCTCCTCCTGCTCTCACAAGAGGTACAGCTCCCTCCTCTGCCGAGGCTGAGCCAGTGTCCCCCGTGGGGACGTCCTCTTTAGGGAATGTCACGCGGGAGGACCCAGCTGTGTCTACGAGGAAAGTCACACACATACCCCCACCCCCACCCCATAGCATCTGCAGCCCCACACACCCCAAGCCACGAAGGTTCTGGGGCCTCAGCCGTGGAGCCTGTGGTTCTAAAACAAGGGGAAGCAGGGAGCAGACAGCAGTAGCCAGGCAAGAAAGTACAGGATGGGAGGCAGCTTCTGGGAGAGCAGGGGCAGGTGCATGGCACGCCCCTCTCCCCTCCCCCCTACCAGAGCCCTTGCTCTCCCTGTGCAGGGGAGAGGACCAGGAGGGACTGACGAGGCAGGGCAGGTGCAGCCACGGGGGACACGGCACACCCCTCTCCCCCAACCCCGGAGCCCTTGCTCTCCCTGTGCAGGGGAGAGGACCAGGAGGGACTGACGAGGCAGGGCAGGTGCAGCCACGGGGGACACGGCACACCCCTCTCCTCCCCCACCCAGAGCCCTTGCTCTCCCTGTGCAGGAGAGAGGACCAGGAGGGACCGACGAGGCAGGGCAGGCAGACCTCAGCTGAGGACTGAGATTTGCCAGCATGAGGAACGCAACTGAAGGGCCTGCAGGAAGCAGAAAGTGAGTTTTCAGGGCCCCTGACCCTCTCCTCCCTGGTTTCGTGGCTCTCATTGCAAGGCCAGGGGGAGGGGCTTCGACTGGTCCCCACAGGACCACTGCAGCAGCAGATGCTCAGCACGAGACAGAATGTGTGTCACAGAAGCCAGACTGGAAGTGCTCGCGTTCAGAGTGCACTGAGTCGGTGCAGGTCACAGGCCTGGCCAGTGTCCAGCAGGGGGAGGGAGACATGGCCGGGGTGACCCAAGGCCCCTCTGCTGGCAGGACAGGCCTGCCAGGCACCCCAATGTGGGTCCCACCTGTCTAGGCCTGTGTGTGAACGCCGTCAGATCCTTCCCTGAGGAGAGAAGCAGCCCAGCCCCAGCTGAGGCTCCTAAGCCACACAGCCATGGCTGGGACCATGGGGAACACACTGCAGGCTTCCAGACTTCGACAACAGCCAGCGGACTCCACAGCCACCAGCAGAGAAGCAGGTGACAGTGGCCACCCCAACCCCACCAACCCAAGGACAGCTGTGAACCAGACAGCGGCCACTACTGTGGGAGAGAGACGCAAAGGGGAAATGGGCAGGTGCACAAGTGTGTCAGAGTGTGTGTGTGGAAATGTGTCAGTGCATGAGTGTGATTGTGAGAGTGCATGTGTGTCTGAGTGATGAGTGTGAGAGTATGAGTGTGTGTCAGTGAGCTTGTGAGTGAAGAGTGTGTATGAGTGTGAGCTCACGAGTGTGTGTCAGTGAGCTTGTGAGTGAAGAGTGTGTATGAGTGTGAGCTCACGAGTGTGTGTCAGTGAGCTCATGAGTGAAGAGTGTGTATGAGTGTGAGCTCACGAGTGTGTGTCAGTGAGCTTGTGAGTGAAGAGTGTGTATGAGTGTGAGCTCATGAGTGTGTGTCAGTGAGCTCATGAGTGATGAGTGTATGTGTATGTCAGTGAGCATGAGTATGTGTGTCAGCGAGCTCATGTGTGTGAGTGCATGAGTGTGAGCATATCAGTGTGTGAATGCCTGAGTGTGTGAGTGTGTGAGCTCATGAGTGTGTGTCAGTGTGAGCTTATGAGTGTGCATGTAAGTGTATGAGTGTGAGCATGTCAGTGTGTGTGTGAGCTCGTGTGTGAGTGTATGAGTGTGTGTCAGTTTGAGCTTGAGTGTGTGTGTATGAGTGTGTGTGTGAGCTTGTGAGTGTATGAGTGTGAGCGTGTCAGTGTGTGAATGCTTGAGTGTGTCGGAGTCTGAGGATGTGAGGCGATGCCCGTGTGCACATGTGGCCACCCCAGATTTCCTCCCGGAGAAGAGTGAGGTAAGTCACTGGCACAGGGGCTCTCAGCAGGGCAGGGCAAGCTGTGGGCAGCTGACATGGTGACAAGGACACGGCGACAACACCGTCTTCCACCCAGCCTGCTCTCTTCCTGTACACATTCACACTGTCTAGACCTCATGAGCAACTGTTGGTCAACACGTGGCCCTGTGTGTAGCGTGTGTGGCCCCTCCCAAGTGGTGCATGTGTCCCTAGGAGATGTGGCCCCACAGTGACCATGAACATCACAGCCTACGTGTGTCCCTAGGAGATGCAGCCACAGTGACCGTGAACATCACAGCCTACGTGTGTCCCCAGGAAATGCAGCCACAGTGACCGTGAACATCACAGCCTACGTGTGTTCCCAGGAGATGCAGCCCACAGTGACCGTGAACATCACAGCCTACGTGTGTCCCTAGGAGATGCAGCCACAGTGACCGTGAACATCACAGCCTACGTGTGTCCCTAGGAGATGCAGCCACAGTGACCGTGAACATCACAGCCTACGTGTGTCCCCAGGAGATGCAGCCACAGTGACCATGAACATCACAGCCTACATGTGTCCCTAGGAGATGCGGCCACAGTGACCATGAACATCACAGCCTACGAGTGTCCCTAGGAGATGCAGCCCGACAGTGACCGTGAACATCACAGCCCTAACTGCGGTCATTCCACTGGACCGTGCAGAGGCCGAAAGACGTGCAGAGCTGCGTGGACAAAGCAGTGAAAACGTGACACAAGGCGCTTCTCATGAGGATGCCAGGCGTGCATGGCAGCAGGCAAGCGCCTGGCCGGGGCCCTGACCGGGGCCTGCTGAAGCCACCCAGCCCTGCTGGGCCCACAAACCAGGTACCCTCCAGAGCCCACAGGAAGACTAGCACACAACCATAGCGCAAAGCACTATACAAAAACCAGCTGCTACCGTCCAGTTAACACCAGTATCTGCGTTCCCACAGTTCCCACAGACAGGAAAATGCAAAGGGAGAGATAATTCACAAGGCTGGAAGACGGTTTCCTGCACAAAGCCAGGGGTGTAAGAACTCACTGTTGCTATCCTCATCTGAAACCAACAGGCGAACGGCATCAGGTGCCAAGCAGTCGCCAGGACTAACCAAAGGCAGACTGGAACTGGATTTCTCAGAGGGAAACACAGACCCCGGAGGGTTAGGCTCCCACCGGCAGCACTGACATCCCATATGAGCGCCAGTGTTAGTCCCGGCTGCACCACTTCCAATCCAGCTCCTGCTAATGCTCCCGGGAAAGCAGCAGAGGATGGTCCAAGTGCCTGGGCCCACCCACCCTCTCCTACCCCTCTCACCTCCTCCCACCTCCTTCCACCTCCTCCCACCCCCTCCCACCCACATGGGCAACCCAGATGGAGCTGCTGGCTCCTGGCTTCAGCCTGGCCCAGCCCCAGCTGTTGCAGCCATTTGGGGAGTGAGCCAGTGGATGGAAGGCCTCTCTCTGTGTCTCTTTTTCTTGCTCTCTATAACTCTGCCTTTCAAATACATAAGTAAATCGTAAAAAAAAAAAAAAAAAAAAAAAAAAGGACTAAGGAGCAGCTGCCACCTTGAAATCCCATCAGGGAAGCAGCAGAAAACCAGGCCATCTCGGGACCGGCCACAGCCCACACTGCCCACCTTGACCCTGGCCCCACCGGCGCTGGCCCATTCACTTCCTCCCTTCAGCGGCTAGCGCCCGTCTCAGGAAACAGCAATCTTGGCACCAAAGTGACCTGAGACACGGGAGCCCTCACTTACCACAGACTCTGCTCATGGCCAAGATCATGTCCTCGTACACTGGAGAGGAAGAGAGAGACATTAGTGCGTGCAACTCAACAGACAGCAGCACCCTGGACGGCTGAGTAAACTGACGGTCGCTGGACGAGCGGAACATTGAAAAGGCAACGCTGACCCACAGAAGGCTTCTGTGCACGGTAAACCCCTCCAAGCCACTCTTTCTAATCAAGAACAAGAACACTCTGCTCTGCATAAATCCGACCAAATGCTTAACCGAACCACTCCAATGGTGCCCACCACAGCAGCGACACTGGCTACGGGGTGAGCCGCGGCTTCCGGCCGTGGGCGGCAGTGACATTGCACACAAACCCCGGAGCAGCTCTGGATGCGCCCAGGGCGCCCACAGAGGCTCCCTCGCAGGTGAGCAGCGAGGAGACGTGTGCGCCACGGTGGGGACATGGGCCACGGGGCTTCCCGGGCCCGCCCTGTGGACGAAGTGTGCGTCTCTCGTGGCGGGCGGCGGCTCCTCACCTTTGCCCGCTATTTCCAGGATGCTCGCGTCCTGACCTCTCTCGTCCTTCAAGGTCGCCTTGTACTCGCCGTGGTCCTTCTTGGACAGCTGCGGACAAAGCACAGCCCTGTTAACACGAAGCCGGTGCATGGCCTCCACGCGGGGAGTGCTGACATGGCCTGGGCAGAGGAGGCCGGGTGCAAAGGGGAGGGCGCGGAGACACGGAGGCCTGTGCAGAAGTGCCGTCTGTGCACGCGCGATACCTTCGGGATGAGCAGCTCGCACACGCCCTTCTCCAGGTCGGGCGGCGTCTCCGTCTCGTACAGAACGTCGTCCTTGAGCCACTTGAACACCGTCTCCTTCTTGGTGTTCGCAACCTGCAAGACAGGAGCTAGGCTGGGTGCGGGAAACGCAGGAGCGAAGCCGCACACACTAGGCTGGGTGCGGGAAACGCAGGAGCGAAGCCTCACGCACGGGCTCCGACAAGGCGAGCCTCTCCCGGATGCCTGCGGCTGAGGAGCCGGGCCTTCACCCTGGCACCTGAAAGACAAACGAGTCTCCTGCAGCCATGACCTTGGGCGTGTGAAAGGTCACTCACAGAGGCTGCACCTGGGGATGTGCAAATAACGCAGAAGGCGCTCAGAGGTCTGGGAAACTGCCAAACGCTGCCTACCTGGTGTGGCCACAATCAGGACCACCCTCAGCAGGAAGACAGCCCCGGGGGACGAGGACTCACTGGACGCTCACCGCACCATCTCAGCACTGCTAGGATGGGGGAGGGGCTTTGCTGGACCGTTAGCGCCATCTCAGCACAGCTAGAATGGGGGGGAGGGGCGAGCTTGGCAGACTCCTAGAGGAGTAAGTGCCCCACCACCTGCTCTGACCCACACGTCCGCGGTGGGGGAGAATCCCGCCGCACACCAGGGGACGTGCGGGTCAGCTGGGCTGGATGAAGCAGGCAGCTCTGCACGCGCGTCACACGCACTCCACAGAAGCAAGGACAGTGACTGGGAGCTCACGGGACTGGGGGCGTGGTGGCCTGCCAGGGCGCGGGGCGCGGGGCGCCTGGGGGTGTCGACCCTGGTGGAGTGGGGGTGCCCTGGGGGTGTCAGCCCTGATCGAGTGGGGGTGCCCTGAGAGTGTTGGCCCTGATGGAGTGGGGCGCCCTGGGGGTGTCGGCCCTGATGGACTGGGGCGCCCTGGGGGTGTTGGCCCTGATGGACTGGGGCGCCCTGGGGGTGTTGGCCCTGATGGACTGGGGCGCCCTGGGGGTGTTGGCCCTGGTGGAGTGGGGCACCCTGGGGGTGTTGGCTCTGGTGGATGGGGGTGCCCTGGGGGTGTCAGCCCTGATGGACTGGGGTGCCCTGGGGTGTCGGTCCTGATGGAGTGGGGGGTGCCCTGGGGGCGTCAGCCCTGATCGAGTGGGGGGTGCCCTGAGAGTGTCGGCTCTGATGGAGTAGGGGTACATGTGTTTTAGGGTCTCCATGTCAGCCCCACCTGTGCACCACTTTGACCACACACCAGTGTCGCCTTTGAGGCAGGGGTTTTGCCTGCCTCACTCGCACTGTGCCCCAGCCCAAGGCACAGACCAGTTGCTCCAGGACTGTGTGTGGGACCCCAGGAGGGGCCTCCCCTGGAGCCGGGATTTCCGAGTGCAGTGTCTCCAGGTCCCCACAGTGCCTGCGTCAGTGCCAGCGCAGTCCCTGACGCTGCCCAGCACAGGCATAAATGGCCGTTCCCTGCGGCCTGTCGGCAGCCTCGGCCTCTGCCTCCAAGTAGCCTCCACGGTTAACTTGCCCTCTAGATGGGGCAACATCCAAGACGGTGTCCGACACGCGGGGCACGGCGCTCCTGCTTTGGCCACGGCACGGGGGAGCCGGCGTGCCCCTCACAGCTCCTGCGAGCCCCTGTCTCCGTCTGCCCGGTGAGCTGCCTTTTTCAGTACTGAGGGCAGGGTATGCCGCTCCCTCCCTCCCTCCTCACCACCTCAGCGTCACAGGCCCTCCCTGTGACTCCCCCTCCCTGTGCTGCATCCCAGCAGTGCCCCACAGGGTGACGCCACTGTGCCCAGCAGCAGGGACAGGAAACGCCCAGGCAGCCGACACGTGACCTCCAGCCCTCGCCCCAGCCCCCGCACCTGCCTCCTTGAGCCCCCTGTTTCTGTCCTGTCCACCTCTGGCGGGTGTCCAGCTGTCTGCAGGCCGTGCCCTCTGCAGAGTCTCGGGGCCCCACCTCTGGCCATGAGCTGCTCATAGCCCCCCAGCAGTTCCAGGCATAACTAACTGAACACTTGCACACTGGATTTATCCACACAGCCTGAAAACTTGGCCCACACGGTGCTGACCTCAGGTGCCCCTCCCTGAGCAGGTCATCTGCAGCAGCGCCCGTCGGCCTCCCAAGGGGTCCTCACCACACCCAGCCGGTGCCCAGCCCCTGCTGGTCTGAGAACCCCTGAACACGTCTCCACCATGGCGACATGCCTCCCCCCACCCCAGGCCTGCTGCCCGCACCTGCGGGCTCATTCTGCTGCTGGACAAGCTGTCCCCGCCCAGCAGCCGAGCCCTCACACTCCCCAAAACCCGTCCGTCACTGCCCGGTGCCCACAGAGCCTGCGGCCTCTTCGTCCTGCCAGGAACACCCTGTGCGTCCAGCCCACCCCGCCCCGCCAGCCTCATCTCGTTGTGCTGTGCAACACAGCACAAGGCTCAGGCCGCTCCCCTGCTCCTGGGACGGCCTCTCCACCCTCCCTGAGCCCACGTCTCCGGTCAGCCCCCCATTCCTGGTGCGGGGCTGCTCCGGGCTGGAACAGCCTGTCTGCTCCTCTCCCTGCACCCAGAGCACAGGCAGCGCAGGACAGAAACAGCACTGTGTTCCAGTGTTCCTCTCTGCTCCTCTCGGCTACTAATGCGGGGACAGCCACAGCCGGTGTTCAGAAAATGGAAGGCTCAGGCCGAAAAGGCGGACTTTTGTGCTTAACAATAATCAAGCGTATCCGATTTGTCAGAACACTCTGGAAGCGCCTTGGCCCTGAGCCGCGCCTCCCGTTTCCCGAGACCGGGTGGCATCCTCGTGGCCTGGAGCTCACTGTGCGAAGGGAACCTCCACAGACTCCCAGCCCGACCCCCTGAAAGGACTGGCCAGAGTGGCTGAGCCTGACGTGCCCAGGACGCCTGGAAGCCGCCCAGCTGAGCACGCCCACACCTCTCCTGCCCACACTGCACCCGGGAGGTGGCGCCAGCGCGAGTGGCAGCGAGACTCCTGCTGGGGGCTCTGGGCTCACCTTACAGATGAGCCGGACCTCACACTCCTCTGTGACGTCCCAGTGCAGGTACTCAGCAAAATGAGGGCCTGAGGAGGAGGGAAAACGAGTTTAAGTGAAGGAAGAAGTGAAACGAGTGAGTGCACTCCACAGGTGCTATCCACACGCGTGTTACGGGAATGCACCAGTGGAAGGCATGTGTGTTCTCTGGGTGTTAGGTGTGCACGTGTACATGGTGTACATGTATCACAGATGTTATGTATACACATGTGTACGGTACGTGTTGTATGAATTACATATACACACGTATGGCCTGTGTATGCTGTAGCATTATATGTACACTTATGTAAGATGTGTGCATGGCACATCGGCGTAGGTGCTATGTATACACGCGTGTCTGGTGTGTGTGTGTCGTATGGGGCAGGTAGGAGGTGAGGTTTCACCAAGCAGGTGTGGTCTGTGGAGAGCCTGCACCGGGCCACACGCTTCGCGGAGTGACGGAGGGGCGTCAGGTAGGTCACGTGTGGGAGGGCCGAGAGGAAATGCATGTTTGGGAAGTGCCGTGTCCAGCAGGGTAAGGAGGAGGCCGCGGGGCACTGGTCAGCTCAGCTGCCCGGCTCCACCCAGCGCCTCCTCCCTGGGACGGGAGCAGCTAACGGAGGTGTGGCTTTCCAGGGGACAGCAGCAAGCCCACACCAGGCGCGGGTGGAGCACAGAGCACGGGAAGGACCCAGCCCCACAGCTGAGCCAGGCACACCTCACTCGTGGTCACCTGCTGTCCCCCTGCCTCCCGCGGCTGCCTAGGTGAGCTGAGACCCCAGACACCGCCGTCACTGACCTTGCTTCCTGAGGAATTCTTTCCTTTGGAACTCAGCCTCTTCCAGCACCTTCCTGAAGGCTACGTTCCACATTTAAAGGAAAAAATTAAAAATATGTGTCAACTTCTCTGGGGCAAAGGCCGCTGAATGCCGTGTATTTCTGGGACACGGTGACACCGGGCACAGCCTACCGTCTCCGATGAGGACCAGGGAAGACTGGTTTTTGGCTTTGCCATCGTGAATCTGCACGGTGTAGGTGCCCTCATTCTCAATAGTGAAGCGATCCATCACCATCTCGATGATGCCGGACGCCTTGTCACATTTCATCCTGTGTGTCTGCAGGCAGAGGGGACATTACACAGGAGATCCCTCGTCCCCACCCTCATCACACGGTACCCTGTGTCTGCAGGCAGAGGGACATTACACAGGAGACCCTCATCACACGGGACCCTGTGTCTGCAGGCAGAGGGGACATTACACAGGAGATCCCTCATCACACGGGACCCTGTGTCTGCAGGCAGAGGGGACATTACACAGGAGACCCCTCGTCCCCACCCTCATCACACGGGACCCTGTGTCTGCAGGCATTGGGGACATTACACAGGAGACCCCTCGTCCCCACCCTCGTCACACAGGACCTTGTGTCTGCAGGCAGAGGGGACATTACACAGGAGACCCCTCGTCCCCTCCCTCGTCACACAGGACCCTGTGTAATGTCCCCTCTGGGGCCTTCCGTGCCTGTGCGCACTGGCCCTGTGCCTGCATGGTGAGCTCCCTGGAAGGAGGCAGGAGCCCTCGGTGACTTCCCTGTGGGGAGCAAACCGGACTAGACTGTTACTGGAATTAAGACTTATTCTATGCATCTGCTCTCCCACAATATGGCGCTGGGAGAGAAGTAAACAGCTTCCGCACAGCTGCCTCCAGTTCAACCAATTAACTGTAGGACTTGCTCCTGATTGGAGAGCAGCGTACTCAGCCGAGTTGGGATTGGCGGAGGAGGACTATAAAGGAGGAGAGAGACGGCATGCACCAGGAACATCTATGGGGAACATCTAAGGGAACCCGTGCAGCCCCCGAGAGAGCCGGCCGGCGGTGTGCCGTTCCCCTGCGGAAGTGGGGAATGCGGCCAGGGGGAACTGCCCTTCCACGGAGGTGGAAGGGATAGTAGCCAACCCGGGAAGAACCAGCAGCAAACCCGGGGAGGGCCGAGCAGACGAAAGAACAGCGCAGGGTCCTGTGTTGCTCCTCCACGAAGAGGGGGAGCGACACTTCCCCAGCCCAGCACCCACCCCAGGGCCTGAATGCCTGCTCTCCCAGGTTCCCCTAGACCTGCTTTGCCCCTGCAGACCCAGCCCATCAGGAGTTTGAGCAAAGATCCCCCCTCCTGGATCCTGACCACACGCCTGAAGGCGGGAGGTCCTGGGACCAGGATGCAGGGAACAAAATCTCAGGGGCGGTGAGCAGCAGGTGCTCGGGGCAGCACAGGGAAAGCCCACCCACGGCAGGCGCAGGTGCCCTGGGGGATGCCGACGAGCGTCCGCCTGGAAGGCCCTGCTGTGCTGAACCCTGGAACTGTGCGCAAAATAAACTTTTCTCCAGGAGGTGCCCAGCTTCAGTATTCTCCCGCAGCCACGGGAGCACACGATGGCAGTCACGACCGCTGTGTGGCCAGGGACCCAGCAGCCGCTCTGTGAAGTCACAGGCACTGGTCTTCAGTGCGGTGCTTTCTGTCTCGGTAGACAAAGGCCAGCGTGGCAAGAGAGCTCAGAACGTGAACATCGGCAACAGAGCAAGCAGGTCGCGTGGATCTCCGGTTCACTGCCCTGGGGGCACCTCCCGGTTCTGCCTCGGTTCAAGGCCTCTGTCTTCTGCACCCTCCACTCCACCCAAGATGTCCCCCAAGACCTCATTCGTGTTGCCGCCTGCTGCCCCGGGCTGATCTCAGCTCATGGAGCTCCCTTGCTTCAGCCATCCCCTGAATTCTGCCTCCCTAAAACACTTTCACGGCCGGCGCTGTGGGGTAGCGGGTACAGCCTCTGCCTGCAAAGCCGGCATCCGACACGGCTGTTCCAGTTCCAATCCATCTCCCTGTTAACGGCCTTGGAAAAGCAGAGGAAGATGGCCCAAGTGTGTGGGCCCCTGCCACCCACATGGGAGACCCAGATGAAGCTCCTGGCTTTAGCCTGGCACAACCCTGGCCATTGTGGCCATCTGAAGAGTGAACCAGCAGGTGGAAGATCTCTCTGTCTCTCCCTTTCTCTGTAACTCTGCCTTTCAAATAAATACATCTTTTAAAAAACCTCACTTCAATTAAAGCAATTTCCATTTAGCCCCATTACAAACGCATTCTCCCAGTCCTGCAACCGTCCTGCCTTTCAGTCCAGACCACTCTGTTACCAGGTTATCAGCAAATGCTGAACGTGAACTGACACGCACTGGGAAGAGAAGATGAACGCACGGGCGCCGGCCGTCAGCTGAGACCCTTGCACGCCTGTGACCAGACGGACGCTCAGGCTGAAGTGAGGCGCGTGCCTGCCTCGGGCGCCCCTCGACTCGCAGCAAACACGAAGTCTCCTCCACGACTCGAGATCCCAGGGCTGCTTCGAATGCGCAGACGCGACCGCACTGCCGGCGATCTCCGGGACTTTTCCCAGCTGGGACACGGAACAGGGTCAGGAATGAATGGGAAAGCTTGGGCTTGGTTTCGGGAGCACCAGCAGGAGCGTCGGAGCTGGGATCAGCCACGGAAACACAGGGCAACACCCTGACCCGCCCTTCGAGGTCCTGGGAGTTGGTGGGGCCCCCAAAGAGGAGCAGGAAGGGGGCAGCCCGAGGACTCGGCCCAGCCTTGACCCTGACCTTCTTCCTAGCTTTGAGTATTCACTTCTTTATTTATTTATTGAGAAGTAGAGTTACAGACAGTGAGAGGGAAAGACAGAGAGAAAGGTCGGCCTTCCGTTGGTTCACTCTCCAAATGGCTGCAATGGCCGGAGCTACGCCGATCCAAAGCCAGGACCCAGGAGCTTCTTCCAGGTCTCCCATGTGGGTGCAGGGGCCCAAGGACTTGGGCCATTTTCTACTGCTTTCCCAGGCCACAGCAGAGAGCTGGATTGGAAGAGGAGCAACTGGGACTAGAACCGGCGCCCACATGGGATGCCGGCGCCGCAGGCAGAGGATTAACCAAGTGAGCCACGGCGCCAGCCCCAGAGCATTCCCCTCCGAGTGCCAGGAGCAAGCTGGCTTGACCAACGGCCCACCTCGTCCTAGCCGCTCCACTCCCTTCAAACCTCAGCAGTAGGAACAGCAGGAAAGCCTGCCGAGTGGCTGAGGATGACAGAGTCTGAGTTCCCCAGCCAGGTTCCGGGTGGCCCGGGGCCTTTTCCGTTCTCTCAGCTGCTGCATTGCAGGTTGTAGACAGTAACGAGGCCTCTGGCTACGGCCGTGACACAGCCGGGTGGAGCTCAGTGACCTCCCAGGTGCCACAAACACAGGCTTGTATGTGACGTAACAAAGCAGCGCCTGCGGTTACTAATTACAGAACCGAGGTGGGCAGCCACAACCCACGAGGTCAGCCGTGCACCAGCAACGCCCACGTGCAAGGCAGCCCCCCGGCAGCAGGGAGGAAGTGCTCGTCAAAAGCGATCTGGAGGTAAGCAATGACACTGAACTCCATTTCGTTTCGCGGCCGGATCTCTGCCCAGAGGAAGCTCCGCCAAGTGCCACGAGCAGGCCGCGCGCTCCCGCAGATTTCTGCATAGCCGACTTTGCAGCCTGGAAGACGCTGTGTGCTTTCCAGTTTTTAGCCAGCCGTCTTGCCTGCGTGCGTCTTCAGAGAATGCCAGGTCTCCAGCAAGATGCGCGTGATCAGAAAGCACAGGACCCTTGTCGGTGCAGGATGCCCGCCCACACGGCCGTCCTAGCCGCCGCCAGCCTGTCGCAGGACCGCGGGGAGGGTCGAGCTCAGAGAAGAGCAGCGGTGCTGCCTCTCAAGCCTCCAACTGCTCTCTGTGCCGTGAAGGAACGAATGAGGCACACAGGACTCGGTGGAGTAGCTGAGCTCATCGGCGACACAACACACCAGGCATGATGGGGAGGAGGGCAGCAGCCAGTGCAGTGGATCTCCGAGCCCCAACCCCACTTCTGAACAATGAAGAAGGGCCCCACCGGACGAAGCGCCCTGTACCCGGGTCCCAGGCGAGCCACCGTCCGAGAGAGAAACCGCCGAGTCCTCCAGATACAGAGGCCACAGCCTGTAACAACCCGGGGACCGCTCTGCACAGCAGACGGCAGATGCAGGGCGAGCGCGATCGCACACAGCGCACTCGTGCCTCCGGCCGCCGTGCTGCCTTCGTCCAGGCTGCGCCCGGGAAGTCGCAGGAACTCATTTCCACGGGACGCTGCCAGGGCAGGAGCTGCGGGAGGATTCCCCACAAGAGACGCAGCGCACGGCTCAGGACCACGACTGACCAGCAACAAGCCGATTGTCAAGGACGTCTCCCGCGTGACCTGAACTTTCCATAACGCTGGGCTCGAAGTCCCCACAGCGCGACTTGTCAGTGTTTGATTCCAACAGCCTCGGATTTCAAAGCCTTCATGGATCACCTGGCTAACCCAGTCCAAACCCCAGGACACTTCAAGAATCAGCGTCCCCCCGTCTCGTCTGCTTCTGCACCCCAATTCTTACAGCTCAATACAGCAATGAAAACAAACCCAGGCTGCTGGCTGAGGCCGCGCCCCTCCCCAGCCACGTCCTGGCTCTGTCCACAGCCAGGGACCCCGTGCAGAACTCACCTCACTGTCAGACACTTCCCTGTCGTTGATGACGAAGCGGAAGCTGGCGTCTGGGGATAAGGGCTCCGTCTGGAGCCAGAAGCGCACCTGGCCCTTATCGAAGATCTCATAAGCTAACTCTGATTTCAGAGGGATTGCTGTCGGAAGGAAAGAGACCGCGTGTCAGTAAGGCACGAACCCTGTGCCAAGACGAGCTGTGTGCAGCCAGACGACGCCAATCCAGGTGCCCAGCGTTCTGAGGACATGCACACTGGAGCATTGCACGGGATGACGGGAACTAAAAGTCAAAACTGAAACTCTACTCAGCCCACAGCACTGAAGACCCCAAGCCGTGAGCTTTCCAGATGTGCTTCGTGTTTTCAATGCAACGCGACAACTGTGGTCAGCTGCCACGGGCTAGGGACAGCTAACCCTAAACCCCGAATTCAGGAGACCACGCACTGCCAGTCTCTGCAAGCCACAGCGACAAGCCCAAGTGCCAGGAGTGACTTTCCCAGAGACGTCCCTCAGCCCCCAGCGCTGATGACCACAGCCCTGCCCAGCTCGCAACTGCGCACTCGGGGTCCGTGCGAACTTACTGGGGTTCTTGATCTCGTTGCTCAGGGCCAGCAGTCGCTCAAGCTCTGGAATTAAGAAAAGATACCAGAGGTTGCACAACTCCCAGGTTTAACGAGGTCATGGAAGAACTTTGGACCGAAAGCAGAAAGCACAGGTTCCCTTGTCCTCCGGGTGCTCCCTCAACACACCAGCAGCCATCGGCAGCCCGGGACCCAGCAGTGAAAGGGCCCAGGGCCTGCAGGGACAGTGGGGGTGCCCTGAGGAGGAGGGGCTGGCGCAGGGCAGGTGCACCCTTCCAGAGAGGGAGCCAGGGAGCCAGCAGAGCCGACAGGGACACCCCTGCCCCCGCCTAGGGCAGCGCCCGCCGGTCCCAGTGCCACCCTTCCGCCGCATCTCGCTGTTCTGTGAGAGTTCACCGCATGTCACCAGCGCTGAGCCTGGCCTGCAGGCCCACGAGGCTGCTGTGTGTCTCTGGCTGCCTCCTGCCTTTGGGGTCGCCGGCCCTGCCTCACCGCTGTGGTCTGAGTGTCTGTTGGAAACGTAATGCCAGTGCAGCAGAGTGGCCGCATCGGGAGGGCCCTGCCCTTGGGCGCTCTGGGCCACCGCTCTGAGAGTGGGGTTTCTATAAGGCAAGAGCTCGTCCCCCATCCCCGCACTCTCGGGCCCCATGACGGACCCCTTCCAGCTCTGGCGGAAGCAGCATGGACCGGAGCCGAGCCACCCAGCCTGCACGCCCTGTGCCAGGAACCCAAGGCAGAGAGACACTCCCCTCGGCAGCCTGCCTGGGCCAGGCGTCCTTGGCGGCCCCTTGGCTGTCAGCCAGGACACAGTGGACAGCTGAAGGAACTCACATAGTGCTTACAGCATCACAAGGACTCTACAATTTACCAAGGCAGCCAGGGACCCAGTGTCCCCAGAGACCAGAGGGTTCTGCCCAGTGCTGCCAGGTCCCCAGTGGGCCATGCTCCCTGTGAGGCCAGGCAGGTGGGCCAGCACCAGGTGGGCAGGTACACAGCACAGGAGCGCGTGGGCCCTGGCTGTACCTGCCTCGTGGGAGCTGAGACGCTCATGCTAAGCGAACTTCCTCACATGTCTGCCGTCTCCACTCAGAACAGGGCTGGCGGTTCTAGCTGTGGCCGTCAGCCAGTGCTCAATGCACGGAGTCTGTCCCCTTCTCATCCTGCTTCTCAGCACTGCAGGGAGGGACGGGGCCCCCACCGGCGAGGCTCCAGTCCAGTGAGCAGACTTCTCTGCCAAGAGCCCACGCTGCTGCACTCTGAGATTCGGCTTTAGAAGTGAACACTGAAGCCATTCAAGACCCGGGATTGTGGGGTGCACAGAGTGCAAACCCAGCGCTTAATTCCCAAAGGAATCACGCACCTCTCTAAGCATCCCCGACCACAAGTGGCCACCCTTTCTCTAACCCACGGAGTCTCTTCCAGGTTAGTACAGGAAGGGCGGGCCTGTGACCCGCGGGCATTACCTTCTTCGTCCAAAACAAAACTGGAGGACACGCCATCCGTGTCACTGACCGACACAGAGTAGGTCCCCAAGTCGGCTTTGTCTGGATTCTTGAAGTAGAGCTTGGAGCTGCAAAGGAGAGGAGGGAGCGTGTGGGCACTGGTGAGGCCCAGGGGTGGCCGTGTCCCCCGCCAGCGAGCCGCCCAGGACCTACTGGTCGCCCTTGGTCTCCACGTGGAACCTCTCGGGGTCGGCGATCTCCTCGTAGGACTTGCACCAGGTGAAGTGGGACGCGTCCGTCATCTCCTGGCAGTCGAAGCCCAGGTAGATGTTGCCTTCCTCGTCGACGCCAGCACTGATCTCCTTGGTGCCTGGGGGCAGGGACAGGAGGTGAGTGCTGAGGAACACGGCGTGCCCAGGGTTCCTCTGCGGGGGTGCGGGCAGAGCTAGGGTTACATCGCGTCAGCAGCTGCACCCAGAGGGCGGGAGCCAGAGCGGAGAGCACTGCTGCCAGGACCGCATCCTTGGCTGCGTCCGGGGCCCTGCGGGACCCCCTGAGGCCACCCACCAGGCCGAGGCAGCCCCTCGCCCGACCTGTGGGCACTAAGCCTCCCCTCAGGGCGCAGCAGGCAAGCACCCCACGGGCCCCTCCCCTGCTCCGAGGTTGACATGGGTGGTTTCCAGGTTTGGCCTTAGATGGACCCCTGGCCCGACACCTGACACCCAGGCCCAACCTCAGGCCCTCTGCTGGGGTGGAGAAGAGCCCACATCACACAGACGCTCTGCCAGAGACCTGGGCTTGCGGTGGCAGGCGACCGGGGGCTGAGGCAGCCCACGTGCCCCGGGGGCAGCACCGCCCCTGCGAGGACGGCTCAGGGGGCTCTCACGCACTGCAAGCAAGAAAATCACCAACAGCTCCCACATGTCTCTCTCGGCACCTGCCACATCAAAACCGCCTCCTTCCTGCACTCTGGCCACCCGGTGAAGACGGGGGTGTGTGCCTGCTCCTGCCCCAGCTGTGAGCGCCCACAGAAAGCCCAGGCACGTGCCAGCCCTCGTGCCTCCCCACACCCCACGGCACCCTGCACACGCCCACACATGCTCAGTGCAGCCCACCCTCCCGCAGCCGGCTGTGTGGGTGAGCTCTGCCTGGTGTGGGTGGGACGCGCTCTCACCTGGCCTGGCCTCCACCAGCACCGGCTCAGACACATCCGAGGGCTTCCCCACACCGCTGGCGTTCACCGCCCGCACGCGGAAGACATAGGTTCGACCTTGGTGCAGGTCAGAGACCTGGAAGTGACGGGGGAGACCAGGGGGATAAAGATAACCTCGCTGTCCTCCACGTCTTCCAAATGTTCGTTTTTTATTAATCTTCCTCTACTTGAAAGGCAGAACGACAGAGCCAGAGAGACAGGGAGGGAGCAGGGAGCCTGGAACTCATCTGGGTCTCCCTGTGGGTGGTAGGGGCCCAAGCACTGAGCCATCATCTGCTGCCTCCCACATGAGATCAGCAGAAGCAGGAACCCCAGCCGTCACTCGGATACAGGACGCAGGCACCCCAAGATGCACCTTAACCTGCCGCGTCACACGCCTGCCTCATCTTCCTCACTGCCTTCCCCTCAAAGTTAACCCGAGGGGACAGCATTGCGGAGTAGCAGGTAAAGCCCGCATCCTACACGGGCGCCAGTTCAAGTCCCGGCTGCTCCACTTCTGATCCGGCTCCCTGCTGATGTCCTGGGAGAGCAGTAGAAGATGGCCCAAGTGCTTGGGCCCCTGCACCCACGAGGGAGACCTGGAAGAAGCTCCTGGTAAAGGGCATGTCGCTGCCCCCCACACACACCATGGGAGATCGGTTCATGGCCTCTCTCTCTCTGTCTCCATCTACAAAACGAAAGCTAGATAACCGAGAGGCCCCCTACGGCTGCTGGAGAGCCCCTGGTGCCCAGTTCTCTTGTCAACCCGACCAGATAGCGGCCCAGCCCTAAGTGCACCCTGTGTGCAGTCCCTTGGGAGACTGTCGCCACCTCCTTGCTTCAATAAAGCGACCTGTCTCTGTTGACGTTGGTCTCTGTCTCCTTTTCCCATCTCTCCTTTCTGGGGGCAAGAAAAGCCAGAACTCCAAGCTATTCCAGACCTGACACCTGGCTCCTGGCTTTGGATCAGCCCAGCTCTGGCCACTGTAGCCATCTGGGGAGTCAACCAGCAGATGGAAGCTCTGTGTGTGTGTGTGTGTGTGTGTGTCTGTCTGTCTGTCTATCTCTCTCTCTCTCTAATTCTGTATTTCAAATAAATAAATAAACTTTAAAAAAAGCACCTCACTCGTGTAGCTGGAGAAGCACGGGGGACACCTCCAGCCGCGTGCAAAGCAGTCACAACCCCTCTGCGGGGACAGGCCCATGGGTGGCAGGCACCCAATCACCCGAGCCGTCACCGCTGCCTTCCGAGGTCTGGTTTAGCAGGAGCTGGAGCAGGGCCCTGACAGGGCATTGGGTGCCCTAACTGCTGCCTTTACTGCTGACCCAAACCCCTGCCCCCAAATCCTACATTAGATGTAATTTTCCACAGCGCAAAGTCCACATTCAGACACAGCACAGGTAAACGCGTCTCTCCTCATGCAGACGCGGGTAGCGAACTCTGTCATCTTCTCACACATCTCTTCTTATCTGCACAATTCTGCTAACTGGACTCCGTCTTGGGAACCACGAACAAACATCTACCTGCATTTCTAATGGATTCGTTTAGCTGAGTCCTTGGGGGCTGCTCCGCGTGTTGCAAAGAGACTGCTGTATGTTACCAGGCTGCCGCCCACAGGTGCCGCCCACAGGTGCTGCCCACAGGGTGCTGTCCACAGGGTGCTGTCCACAGGGTACCCACAGGGTGCTGTCCACAGGGAGCTGTCCACAGGGTGCCGCCCACAGGGTGCTGTCCACAGGGTGTCGCCCATAGGGTGCTGTCCACAAGGTACCACCCACAGGGTACTGCCCACAGGGTACTGCCCACAGGGTGCTGCCCACAGGTTGCTGCCCACAGGGTGCTGTCCGCAGGGTGCCCACAGGGTGCTGCCCACAGGGTGCTGTCCACAGGGTGCTGCCCACAGGGTGCTGTCCACAGGGTGCCCACAGGGTGCTGCCCACAGGGTGCTGCCCACAGGGTTCCGCCCATCCCTGCCCCATCAGTGTGAGCTGAGCCAGGCTCAGCCATGTCACACACCTCTGCCTAAGCCACGCCCAGAAACACAGCCTAAACCTCCGAAGAAACCAGCCAGGGGGTGTGGGCCGACCGGGTTCCAGGACAGGGGTCACCACTGACCCGGTAATGCTAAGTCACACATGCTAAAACAGAACTATCTAGAGAGGACAGGCAATTTACACATTGTAATGTCAGCAGATATAGTGAAACCATGTGCACACGTGTGTATGTGTGTGCACACTTGTGCATGTCTGTATTTGTGTGTATGTCTGTGCATCTGTCTGTGCCAGTGGGTCCATGTATGTTTATATGTGCACGTGTGTATGCATGTACATATGTGTGTGTGCTTTGTGTGTTTCAATGTGTGTCCCCGTGATTGTGTGTGTATGTATGTATGTGCACTTTTGTGTAGAAGTTTGAGTGTTTATGCATTTTTGTGTGTATGAATGTGTCCCCGTGTCTGCGTGTATGCATATGTGTGTACATGTGTGTTTGCACTTTTGTGTGTGTGTTGTGTAAGTGGCGTGTATCAGACAGACTTCTATATGCGACCACATGAGTTAATCAAAATAAGCACAGGGCTTAACACAGAGGGGCCCGGCCTGTGTCAGTCCTCCGCATGAGGGCCGCCCACTGACAGTGGGGTCTCAGCTGCTGGGCTCCCACCAGCCCACCAGGTGCCTGTGTGCCAGCAGGAAGGCCCTTTACTACCCTCTGCTGGAGCCTCCGGCAGCTGCGCCATGGATCCCAGGGGTGAAAGGCCGGCACCCGTGGTACCAGGCGTGGTACCTGGGGCCGTGAGCGGAATCACCCGGCACACGGAGGAAAGCGCAGAGGAATGACTCACCTTCAAGTAACGATTCGGAGTCGCTGCCTCGTTCACGGTGCTCCATTCTCCAGAATCCTCTTCCTTAAAATCCACAAAATATCCAGAAACAGGGCTGCTGCCCGAGTACACGGGGGCCTTCCACAGCATCACCAGGGACGTGTCCCTGACCTCGCAGAATGTCAGGTCATAGGCTGGACCTGCAACGGGCACTTCTCTGAGCACAGGCACCCAGGGGCTGCCAGGGCCGCAGCCCTGCCCCCCAGGCCTGGCCCCAGGTCTGCCACCCTGCCCCCTCCTGGCCCTGTGCTCCATCCTATAAAAGTACCAGAGGAAGTTCAGTTTCTGCTCTGACCTTCAAGATGAGCTGACCACAGAGAAATCTCCAAGTCTGATGGTAATGAAAAACAAAGATGATGCTTCATAAAGAATACACATAGATGGAGTGGGCATTTAGCACAACAGTTACTTACTACTTGGAATGCCCATTAACATGAGAGACCTGGCTTGAGTACCTGGCTCCCAGCTTCAGCCTGACCCAGGTCTGGCTATTGTGAGCATTTGGGGAGTTTACCAGATCTCATTGTGTCCCCTTGCCTGTCTATCTCTCTACCTTTCAAATTAATTAATTAATTATTTAAAAATAATTAACTCCAATGACTCAGTAGCTATTATGGTGGGAAGGGGGATTGGGCTTTGATTAAGGCTCACCAGTT